TGACGAGGGCGGTTCAATGGGAAATGGGGGGTCCGGGGTTGGAACCCCACTTTTTGTTTGGGTCCGCACCTGCAGTTCGAACACAAACCGCCACCGTTTGCGAGTACCTGAAGGTTGATATGTAAACATATTCTAGAAATGGGCATATTAATGAGAAGCGGATTTAGGGCGGAAGGGGGCCCGGTCCCCTTTATGGAGCTTCATCTATATTACTAAATGAATAGAGGTGAAATTGGGTGGCGCGTTTTATTCTTTCACATAAAATCCACGAATATTGTTTTATACCACAAAGGGGTAATGACCAGCGTAGTTTATAATGTGCTCATTTTAAGATCTTTTGGGGGTATTTGGGGGTTAAAATCGGGGGGGGGGGGGGGGGGGGGAAACAGTTCGGATCGACCGTTCTTCACGACGTTCGGCTCTGAAATTTACGTGCCGTCCTCATTTCCGTCATTGCACGTCTGCCCGGCAAAATTAAATTTTGTTTCGTAGCAGATACGGTACACCCGATTTCAACTCTATTCATTTAATAATATAGATTTATAAACGTCAAGAGCTTTTCCTTCCGGGGAACCGCATCAATTCAACATGAAAAGGGTGGGGGGATTACTTCAGTTTTCGGTTATAAATGGGTACCGAAGTGCGGCTGGAATGTGCCCCTCCCCCATTCATTTATTAATGCATAAAATTTTCAGCCCACTCATATATGGGGGTGTTTCTGAGCACGAAAACACCAGAAATCAGGTGCGGATCCAGGATTTAATGTTTGGGGGGGGGGGGGGGGTAGGGGGGGGGGGGAGGTGCAAAAAATATTATTCTGCGGAACGGAGCATGTTGCGAAATATTTTTGGGTAAATTAGCAAACATTTTCGTGCCGTCATCATATCCGCTTTGTCTGCAAGTATTATGGTCTGCTCAGCAAAAGTATACCCTAAAACCCTAAAGGGTGGGGGGATTACTTCGGTTTTGGTTAAAATGGGTTCAGAAGTGCGGATGGAATGTGACCACCTATTCCTGAAATCAGATGCGGATTGACCTTACACTGAAACACTTTGTGATACACATTCTCTTTACGCAATTTAACAACAGATTTTTACACGTCAAGAGCTTCTCCTTTCGGGGAACGGCAGCAATTTAACATGAAAAGGGTGGAGGGATTACTTCGGTTTTCTGTCAGAAATGGGTACAGAAGTGCGGCTGGAAAGTGAATGAATGTAGAAAATAGGCTATACAAATTTAATTGCAAAAAAATAAACAAGATTAATTGAGGAACAAACAATTAAGTAACAAAGTGGAAATACAATTTCAAGTCTAGACATTAATATTATGTTCTAATATAGAAACAAATTTCAAGACCATATCCAGATGGAACAAAACTTCCTAACTTTCATTATTTGCCCTAAAGTTTAATTACACCTTTTGAAGTAGAGGGAACAAAGAGACAAATCGATGACAACCAACCAAGAGCTAATTTGAAAAAACTGTTTTCAAATGGCAATATTTCTAGCCAAAACAAAATTGCTGGATCAGAGTTTTCTGTCAAATTCATTGTACCTGAAGAAAAGGTTAATAATTTCATCGGACATTTGGAAACAATGAAGTTGGACAGAGAAAAAAGAATGCTAACCGCACAACAAAAACGACAGGGTGAAGCTGAAAAAAAAATATGAAGGAATAAACTGGGATGAACTGTTTGAAAACAATTTAATTGAAAAGCAAACAGTTGCAACTTTGGATAAATACATAGAACATCACAAGTTAGGTGTATATCATTACAAGGCAGAAAAGACTCAAGCAGTTAAACGAAACATAGCAACCATGTTAATAGCTCTAGATAATGAACAAATCCAAAGTGATGAAGAAGATGACCTTGTAATAAGAGCCTATGACAGTTCTGACAGTGATAATGGCAATGATGATAATAATACTAATGATGAATACAGTAGTAATAGTAGTAGTAGTGGCAGTGAAAGTGAAAGTGAAATTAAAAAGGAATCTTATTTGCCTTCTTCAAGGAGGAGATCAGTTAAAATTCCAGACAAATTCAAAGACAACTAGTATATGTGATCTATGTTAATGTGATAAAAATAAAGTTAAAGTCTGTTTGATTTATTCATAGATTAGATAGGACATATACTTATATTATATAACTTTTTTTATATATTCAGAGGGTAGGACATAGATTTTTTTAAGGGAGAAATATGAATTGCACCGGTCCCAACCCCCAAATAAATATTGACCGGTCCCTAAATTTTCGGAAAATCAAGATTTCACCACGTTCACATCCCGTATTAGGCACGGACCATTTTATTTTCCGTGGGATGGGGCTGGGATTGTCATGCGCACCTGGATTTTCTATCATCCAATGTTTTCCCTATGTGTCCAGTACACAAAATGTACTTCCAAAATTTTTTGGGGATTGGCAAAACTGCTAGAAGTGCTAGACAGATTATGGATACTTTTTGTAAAAAATCCCAGTCAGTTTTCACTCTATATGTCACCAATTAAAGGTATTTATAAACACATATTATTTTGATCAGTGCAATGCATCAAGGGTATAACAATGACATATCCTATGATTAGATCACAAACGCCAATAGTTTCTGTCGGGAAGACTATTCTTTTGGGTGTCATATTGAGTGGTGGTAAGTGGTGGTATTTCGTTTGTGACACGCTTCAAAAAGATTTAAAATCTTAATATCGCCTTACACCAAAACTATATCTTCAAATTATGAACCAAAATATGTTTCGCGGGTATTTTCTAGTTTATAATAAATGCGTAGACTTTTACCAGTATCACTCAAAACGTTGGTTTGCCCTCCCCCTTTTTTCTAAATCCTGGATCCGCGCCTGCTATGTACCCATTTGTTAATTTCATTTTTTTTTCAAAATCTTGGCAAATCTTTCAGGAATCTTCTGTTATTGTATCATGTGATGATCTGTTAATTATTGTCTTTGATGTTTCTGGACGGTTTGGAGTGGCTGGATTATCATAAATTAATATTGTGCGTTGTATTTTCCTAGATGTTGGAACAACGTAAATCAAGCTTTCATATTTCTTAAGCATACGGAGCGGTATATATGCTCCTGTTTTTGTTAAAAATATCACGTTTCATTTGTCCTACATATTGTATAGGCCCTACCATTTTGGTTTGTTCAAGTAACAAGATAAATGACACTTTAGGTTTTTCAAGTGATGTCACGGGAAAAAGACTCATTCTTTTTTTACCTTACAGTATATCGATTAAAAAAATAACAAAGCATTATTTTTGATTATTTTATTTATAGGGAGATATATTTTTTAAGTTTGGAGAAAGGAGAAGAGGGGTGAGAAAGAAGAGGTGTGAAAGAAAGGACTCGGTAGAGATTTGGGATAAAACAGTAGACTACCTCGGCCTGTCCTCCCCTCTTTTATTGCTTCTATGCGGTATGGGTTTTGCTCATTGTTAAAGGCCGTGCGGTGACCTATATTTTTAACCTTCTGTATAATTCCGTCATTTTGTCTCTGATGTAGATTTGTCGTATTGACAATCATATCACATCTTATTATTTTTATACGACCGCAAAAAATTTTTGCGGTCGTATATTAGTATGAAGTTAGCGTCGTCGTCGTCATCGTCGTCGTCGTCCGAAGACACATTGGTTTTCGCACAATAACTTTAGTTTAAGTGAATGGATCTCTATGAAATTTTACCATGAGGTTCAATACCACAAAAGGAAGGCTGGGATTGGTTTTGGGAGTTATGGTACTAACAATTAAGGAATTAGGAGCCAAAAGGGGGCCAAAAATAAGCATTTTTGTAACTTCCAGACAATAACTTGTGTGTTTAAGTGTATGGATCTCTCTGAAATTATACCACAAGTTTCCATACCACAAAGGGATTGTTATGATTGACTGGGGGGGGGGGGGGGGGGGTATGGCTCAAACCATTTAGGAATTAGGGGCAAATAAGTGGACAAACAAGGGTTTCCTGGTTAATGGAAAATTTCAAAGCAGGGTAAGGGAGGTAATCCAAAAACAAAATTGTACAATGTTGAATTACCTCCCTTACACTGCTTTTAAATTACCTATTGAAGACTTTTATTATGTATTTAAATTGGTAATTATGACCATATCTTGAGGGAAAGAATTTTTTTTTTTGAAAAAGGGGGGGGGGGCAATTTTTTTTTTCATTTCAGATTTCAGAAATTAAAAAGAAAATTTCAAATATTTTTTTTGGCAAAAAAAAGGGAGGGTAAACAATTTTTTTTTTGGGGGGGGGGGGTCATTACGCAACAGCATAGTGTATTTCACAAAAGCAAAAAAAAAGGGGTCTTTTTTTTTAATTTTGTTGGGGGGGGGGGGTCAATTCGCAACAGCATAGTGTATTGCACAAAAGAAAAAAAATGAATATAAATTCAAATCATATAACCAATTCTAAGCTCTTTGACTACAGTTATTCGGTGTCAGAAACCTATTATGTGTCAAATATTTAATTACAATCCAAATTCAGACCTGTATCAAGCGCGAATATTGTGTCCATTTTCGCCCCAACTGTTCAGGGTTGGACGACCTCTGCGGTCGTATCCAGCTGCGCTCAGCGAAGCATTTTGTTAATATTATAATTGAAATAAATATAAGATCATATAAGATATACAATTTCAATTTCAAGGCTTTGTATTAAAAGGGGGGTTCCGGGGGTTAGAATCCACCTTTTTTTTGACGAGCGATGCTTATGAATGGGGACATATGGTTGGAACCCCCCTTTATCTTGGGTTGGAACCCCCCTTTTAAAAATGGCTGGATCCGCCCCTTGTATTTTTCGTGTACTGTACACATGCACTTACCATAAAATCACCCAAATCCAAACTAAATAAAAGGTCTGTATAAATTTAGTTTGCTAGCCATGAAAAATGAAATCAAACTTTCAAAGTAATTTAATTCCCCCTGTTTCGAGCCCCTTGTACATTACTACATAACCCTTCCCACTTTATAGAACTATTGTTATTGTCTAATCTGATTGGTTGACACATATTCATCAGCTGTTCATGCAAGTCTGGATAAATAATGTGTATATCGTCTTTTTATTTACACATTTATAATAACACGAGAAGATAAAGCAGTGAGCTGGAATTAGACAAAGAGTGACGGGATCTCTGATTCTTGTAAAAGGTTTGTCAATCAATGCTTTAATACGTTTTAATATTACGACCGATAATTTATGAATTTAATATTAAGTTTTTTTTTCTGCTAAATGTAAGCTTACAAACCCGACAATATGTAATCATCGGATGTCGATGGAATATTGTATACCAAAAGAAGATGTGCTTTTGGTAATGATAGCAGCGGAACCGTACGTAGCTCTTTAATTGGTCCGTATGATAATTTTTAACAATTTGCTGACTATGGTCCGCACAAATCATAAATCATGATAAGGACCATTAGAGTAACGCCGAAATTACGGTTCCGCAGCTCTCATCATGATTGCTTATCGTAATCATGATAATATAATTCTTCGTTTTTGTTTCCTTTGTGTTGTTTTCTATTGTTTACAAACCCGACTTTAAATAAAATGTATCTAATCTTATCTGATAAGGACAATAGAAGGACAATAGATACATGTATGTACACAACAATAGGTGCAGTGGCGGATCCAGAACTTTTTATGAAAAGGGGGGCACTGACTGCCATAAGAGGGGGCCCCGCTACAGTCATGCTTCAGTGATTCCCTATATAATCAACCAAATTTTTCCCTCAAAAGGGGGGCTCAGGCCTCCCAGCTCCCCCCTCCCCCTCTTTAGATCCGCCTATGAGGTGATTTAAAGGGTGTAACTGATCGAGTGGACAGTATCAAATGAAATTCATGTTTTAATTTATAAAATACAATCATGTGCAGTGATGAATAACAAAATTTCCCAAAACATGCATTGAACTTTTATATATCTTGTGAAATTGCAAGCTTAAGCTAGACCTAAAAAACTTTTCCAACAGCACAGGTTTGTCTGCACTCAAGATTACTGGTATTTTTCGAAGTGTAAAGTACTTAACACACCCATCTTTGTTCATTGTATGATGAATAGAACCTTATATTTGTGGAACTGTCTTATAAATAAGAATACATCTAAAAATTAAATATAGAATGGAAACTTATATCTGTTTCTTAAAATGAGGGTGAAAAAAACTGTCAAAAATAGGTGCTACTTGTGGTGTTATGCTTTGCTTTGACATATATGAATGTATATAAGAAAAATAAGGAGATGGTAGGATTGCCAATGAGACGAATGAATTAATTATCCACCAGTGTTCAAATGAAGTGGATATAGTATACATTTTTAAGCAATGTCAGTTCTTGTGTGGTTTTAATGTGTTGTTTGAAATACATTTCTACATATATGTAGTAAGACGATATAGAAGCTCAGTATGACTTACGTTTTCTGTAATCTAAAATTCGCCTATGCATTTTAAATAAAGCTTTTGAACTTTGAAAGGTCATTTAGTGCTTTAAGAATTTGTCATGATCACATGCTAAAAGAACAAAATTTGGTCAGGACCATCCAGAACTGGTTGTGATTAGTTTTGTTACACCCTAGCTATATATATATATAGCTAGTACCTCTACTATTGGAAATATCATTCACAGAAAAAGGTATGATTATTTATTGGAGAAAAAAATATTGTCTGGTACATGTAGCATGCGATATGACTGCATTTTCTTTTCTCTTTTCCATGTTTCTAGGCTGATAATTAAATGTTTTGGTTTCTTTGTAAAGGGAAGTAAATTTCATAGTATTAACATTGAATAGAAAACATGAACCTGGTGTCTTAAATTTATAGTACTAATATAAATACAACTGAGGGACATGTCATATGAAACCTGCTGGTTATAACCCAAAGAATGATAGGGGGACATGAATTTTTTTTGGAAATCAAAAGGGGTATCCAATATGTGGGGGGTTTAGAGGGGGGGCAAACTAAAGGTAAATTCACAAGAGGGAAATTAATTAAGTGACCTGTTATAGTCTATATTACCTGAAAAAAACATCTAGATATCTAGATCAGAAGCTGGTTTTCCTTATGCTATGTATATTGAAGATCTACAGATTGAGTTTGTGTTTTGTTCTGGTTGATCTAACTTTTTGGCAGACTTATAGCTGCAAACTTTTTTGTAATGATGGCAGATCTCAAGCTGATACTTGCAATATAAGTGTATTCTATGTTGTGTTTTGTATACATTTGTCTGTCTTTTAATCGTTTTTAATTTTTAGCCATGGCATTGTCAGGTTGTTTTCGACTAATGAGTTGAATATGCATTCAGTATCTATTGTCTCTCCTTGACTAACTTTTGACAGAATTACAGCTGACTTTTCCCTATACGGCTGCAGGCATTGACACATTATCAAGGTTGAATATAGTTTATAGAATCTATAACTAAATCTTGCCTCTGTAAGTGAACTAACAGATGAAGATGTGCCTACTAATTCCGAAGTTCTGATATGATTCTAGAACATTGATTTTGAATAATATTCGAGCTTCACTGATGAGTCTTTTAGTTTTGTAGAAATGCATGTCTGGCATACAAAATCATAAGCCTGGTATCTTTGATTAGTTTTTTTTATAGACATAGTAAATTAAAGTTCATTTTTAGATAACATACATGACATACAGTAACTGTTTATTTAATTGATTTCAAGTCAGTTTGGATGTTTAATTTTCCTCTCATATGTTTTTTACGTTATAAATCAATTTGTTTGTGCATTTCTTGTCATGGTTTCAATTAAAACAGTAGTTGGGGAACAAATCCCATTTTGCTTATCACGATTACCTAATCTGTTTGCTTATAAGTTAGGATAAAACTTGGATGCAGTGCAATTCATTTACAATTTGAGAATCTTCTCTACTCAAGAGAATTGTACTGATTCATACTGTGAATTTCGTCATTTCCGCCAGTCCATGGTTTGTCCATGATAGGGTTGAGGTGTGCATAGATAGGGCAAATCTTCTAGATGGTCCTTGTGATGTACAAGCACATTTGTACATATACATACATATTGAATAAACTGATTAAGGTTTTGAATTCATTATTTGATTGCTGGTAAATTTGATCAACTAGTCAATTCAGCAGAAAAAGTAAAATTTCTAAACACTTCCAAAACTTATTAACTCTACAATACATACTTTTGTCTACCAAATTCCTACAGATGGAGTCATACATTGGTTACGAGTAACTTTCACTGTTAATTTTCCATGTTTGTGATGAAAATTTGGGTAAAAGTTTTGATCAATATAAGACATCTATAATTGAACTGTAGAAGTTTTTGTACTGATGTCTGATGATATTACTATACAATCTAAAAATAAGACGTGGTATGATTCCCAATGAGACAAGTCGACATCAGAGACCAAAGGATTAAGCTAGCAACTACAGGTCACAGTACGGTCTTCAACAATGAGCAAAACCCATACCGCATAGCATGTTATTATAAAAGGCTTGTGTTCATTGAAATATGACTGACAGACTCAAAATTGTTAATTTTTTATTTCCATTTTTTACCCCCCCCTTTCATACATTGAAATGACAACCTGTTACCCTTGAAATAATTGACTCTGATATTATCATAGATTTCTAATAATTAAATAGAAAATCCAATGATTTAAAAAGGAATCCAATATTTTAAAGTATTCATTTGTGAACACATGCTGGGGTAAATTATACAGAACAATGGTGCTATTAAGTGTTGATTATTGATTTAGCCATATGTCAACTATAATATAGACAATGCAAATGATATGTCAGTGATTCCTGAACTCAGTTTCCTATTATTACTGTTTAATCTTTATGGAAATGAATTGGATCTAATGAAATAGGAAATGTCATATCGAATCTTAAATAGCCTCAACTTCAGTGATTAAATTATCTGAGTTTTTATATGCAATTTTTGTTGGGGATTGACCATATGTGACTGTCCCAAGTCAGGAGCCTGCAATTTAGTAATTGTCATTGGTTGCTGACTGTCAAATTTGTTTTTCATTTATTATTTTTTTTTTTTGGTTTGACTTGTTATCCATGGTTTTATTGTTATTTGCTGTTTTATATCAGAGTTTTGACATAAAATCAATAACTTTAAGAAGCATGTATTGCTTACCATGTAACTCTAGCTCTATTGTGCATTTTATTGTATTGTAAAATTTTTAAGCTTAGTTTTATACGCTCGTTTACAGGACGTATTATCATGATTATGGTATACCGTTGTCCGTCTGTCCGTCCGTCGTCCACATGTAGGACAATAACTAAAAAACGCTTTAACCATTTGCAGGAAACTTTGGTGAATTGTTTATATCTATTGACGTGAGCTCCCTTTTGTTTTTTATAAATTTTACATTTTACGTTTCCGAGTTATGGGATTTTATTCATACAAAGGGGGGATTTTCCAGTTTTCAGACAATATCTTTAAAGTGCTTTGAGCAGTTTTTGTGAAACTTTGCTGACTGGTTTATATCGAATTAGATAACGTCCCTTTATTTTTTTTTTAATTTCTGATATGACATTGAGAAGTTATTGAACTTTATTCTTTGAAAAAGCGATGGGCGTATCATGCGCTCATGGCTCAGCTGTTTATTAAACATGTATATAAATAATAAATACATGGTATACCTTTTGAACTTGTTGGACAGTCGAGAAAAAGTTTGATCCAGTTTATTCGTTATATTATTTCATGCCAAAGATTAATATTGGTATAATTTTCCATCAACGTGTAAAACAGTTGAGGTAGAATTTACATTGCATATCCTTATAGTTGTAACATGCATCAAATGCTTTAAGTTTAAAGTATGTAATTCTTTTCCATAATTTCCTTTCTTAAAACTTCACAAAATCAGATACATATAAAAATAAAAAGATGTGGTATGACTGCCAATGAGTTGACAACTCTACACCAGATACCAACTAACATAGAAGTTAACAAAGTCTATGTACATACATTAGGGTGATACTTTTCTCTTGTATGGGTTCTTTTTTTTTAAGGAAATTTGGTGTTTGCAGTATCACAATGTATAGTTTAAGTTTTTAAAAATTTTTATTTTCAGAATGAAGTTTCAGGTTGTTTTGGTTGCTGTAGTGCTGGTTGCTGTTGTTGCAGGAAAGAAAGGTAAGAAAAATTTCACCAGGTAGACATGTTCTGCCTTTATAAGAAAGTCCCTTCATATTAGTAATACAGTGAATTGATCCAATTTTGGTATACTAATTTCCTGATATTTCCAAGATTATATGGTCCTTTTTCAAATATATACACTTAACAGTGAAGATTGATTTTGTTCTTTCCCTCCCTCCACAGTGAGTTCATAGTTGGCAAAACTTCTATAGCTGGTACCCTAATCCCAGACCATGGATTGATAAGGTATTATCGTTCACCATAATACCTACAATTAATACCTTAAAAACATTTAATAAGCTTTTCATGAATTCAATACCTTGGAAAAATGAATTAAGCTTCTATATTCAATATTTCCACAGACTCTGACGGTACCATCATGGGCTACCAACAATGAGCAGGTGAAAATGACATTAACCAATCATAGCTATTATCAGTCAAGGGTCTAACTTGAATAAGTTATTAGAGAAAAATAACATACATGTGTTATTACAGATACTTTCTCTTAATCTGTAGTAACATATGTTTGTTAACAGTTAAATGTACCATAAAATTTTTTATTTTCAGTGGGCACTTGGGAATTCTTGAAACTTGCGCAGTAACTTAATACATAACCTTGAAAACTAATTTTCTAATTCAATTAATACATTTTTGATCAACCATGGTAAATCAATGAGACAAGGCTTTTAAGTGATAACTTTGCTGTAATAACAAGGCTTAGTTATTACAGGCATTTAACTTATTACATGAGACACTTGGGAATGACTAGGAAGGTTGCGCAGAACCTCATTACATGCTCTTATCATTATTTATTACAATAAATTAAAATACATTGTGATATATGTAGGAGAAAAGGCTTTGAAGAGATGTAGAGAAGCTGTAATTACACCCTTTAGTTATTACAGGTATAATTTATCTGTAATAACAAGGGTGTGTTATGCATGATTGGCAAACTATGGGCTGTTATATCTTTCTAAAGTTTAATATACATAAAGACAATTATAATATCAATAGAACTAGTACACAATTTAACAAAATAAAGGATGTATAATGGCCCTTTGAAACATGTAACATACATAAGTTATCACAGATTTCTGATTTTTTAGCCCTCAATTACAAATGTATGTTATTTTTCTCTAATAACTTATTTAAGTTAGACCCTTGACTGATTATTATCCACATGTACTATGGCATTACAATGTAGTACAAAAGTAAACCAAATTTTGACAATATTGAAATTTTCATAAATCAAATTATACTGATACATAAAGAAAAAACTACTGAATTTTAAAAGATTAACTTACAATGTACATTTCACATGTATATTAATATAGTAATTAAGTTTAGAATTATGATGAATGAAAATTAAAGAAAATTAGGTATGCTTAATCTAAAAGAAAGGCACATGAGACTTTCTAGAATGTGGGCCCACTCCCAAACTGGACTGGTTGAAATCATAAAATTCTCACATTAGCTGCATGCAGTGTACTGTAGCCCCCAAAAAGTTTAATTAGTTTTTCTGTGGGATAGTATATTTTTAACCCATTTGAATATGACTAACAATCTACATGTATATTATCTGTATTTATAGGATGTAAGTACGACAAGGGACAGTGGGGACCATGTGATCAATTGACCAATGAAATGAAGAGAACTTTGACACTAAAAGAGGCCAAAGAGGGCTGTGAGGCTACCATGGAACAAACACGACAATGTAAACAGAAAAAAACAAGTGAGTAATTTTAACTTGACTTTCATGATTGACTGAATAATGCAGCAAATTGGATTTGTAATCTACTAAAACGACACAAACCACTATTTCTTGAATAATTTTTGGAAAAGACCATCAAATATTTTTGGGTCAGCGTTCAACCTTATGGTCAGGAAAGGAAGGAAACAGACATGATTTTTTTGGACCAAAAAGAGAAATTTAGGATAAGCACAAATGAGACGGCAACCAAACAACAAAAAAACAAAAGACATCTTAAGATCAACATACTGTTTTTATGCCCCCGCCGTAACAGAGGGGGCATTAAGTTTTATCCTTGTCCATCTGTACTTCCATCCGTCCGTATGTCCCGAAATTGGTTTCCGTTCTCTAACTTTAGTTAGCCTCAACCAAATGTTATAAAACTTATACACAATGCTTATTACCACAAAACACAGATTAAGTATGAATTTGGGTGGTGTCACTTTTACTGTTCTAGAGTTATTCCCCTTTAGAAGTGGAAAAATTGCTGAATTTTTGGTTTCTGTTCTCTAACTTAAGTTAGCCTCATCCAAATGTTATGAAACTATACAAAATGCTTATTACCACAAAACTCAGATCAAGTACAACTTTTGGTAGCGTCACTTTTACCGTTCTTCGAGTTATGTCCGTTTATATGATTATATGCAAGCGGGGGCATCATCTGTGTCCCATGGACACATTTCCCATTTATTTAAAGGGACAAAGCAGGTATGATTACCCATGAGACAACTATCCACAAGAGAGCAAAGGACGAGGTTGTAAACAACTATAGGTCACCCTATGGCCTTCAACAGTGAGCAAAACTTGTTTGTTTATTTTTACTGTTAACCAGCTGATTTTGAATGACTGGAATATTTATGTGATTTTCCCCAGCAGTAATTTAAATTGGACATAAATTGTTGCAAATATGTCAAATTTAAATCATTTCTCATACAAATTTGTACATATAGAAAGTTGCAAAATCATCAAAAATAACTTTTCTGCAAAGTTGACTTTACATGTAGCTAGAAAGGGTTAAACTCATGTAAAAATATATCAATAAAAATAAGTTACTTTAAAGTACAGTCAAACCTGCTATAAAGGTCACCGCTATATATATATGCAAAAACCTGTCTTGTCCGGTCACTCTCTTCTGGTATAATAATATCTAAGCATTTTTAACCTCAATTCTAAGGTCACCACTCTTATAAGGTCAGTTTTCTCTGGTCCCAAGGGTGACCTTTACATGTAAATACAGGTTTGACTGTACATATGTTGATCAAAATTATTTAAGAATGATAAAATTGAGAATGGAAACGGGGAATGTGTCAAAGAGACAACAACCCGACCAAAGAGCAGAAAACAGCCGAAGGCCACAAATGGGTCTTCAACATAGCGAGAAAATCCCGCACCTGGAGGCATGCTCCGGCTGGCCCCTAAACAAAAATGTGTACTAGTTCAATGAAAATGGACGTCACACTAAACTCCAAAACATATAATAAGATATAAGAAGATGTGTTATGTGTGCCAATGAGACAACTCTCCATCCAAGTCAAAATTTATAAAAGTAAACCAATATAGGTCAAAGTACGGTCTTCAACACGGAGCCTTGGCTCACACCGAACAGCAAGCTATAAAGGGCCCCAAAAATTACTAGTGTAAAACCATTCAAACGGGAAAACCAACGGTCTAATCTATATAAAAAACTAGAAACGAGAAACACTTATGAACCACATCAACATACGACAACTACTGAACATCAGATTCCTGACTTAGGACTGGTGTAAACAATTGCAGCGGGTTTAAACGTTTTAATGGTACCAAACCTTCACCCTTATTTATTTATATAAGTTTATTTCATTATCTATTTGTTTATTTTTTGTAGATTGTAAATACACTAAAGGTAGCTGGGGGGAGTGTGATACTACAACAAACATGAGGTCAAGGAGCATGACCCTACGCAGAGGTGACCCAGAGTGTTCCCAAACATCAACACAGACAATCTCCTGTGAGAAGTATGATCAGATCTACAAAATGAAGGATGAAAAGAAGAAAACGATGGAAATGATGAAAGCTGAAAAAAGGTTGATAAAAGACATGCAGAAGAAACTGAAAGAATTTCACAAGAGTAAGTCTATTGTATACATGCAGCCCATTACAGTACACCAGCCGGTTGTACGAACGTGGCATTAGCCTAATGGGTCATTAAGTTTTCATTAAGCCTTTATGATGCATTAGGCTAATGAAGACTTAATGACTCATTAGACTAATGACACGTTCGTACAACAGGCTGCTGATCAATTATCACATTGATAAATTTTAACTGTTTTCCAATGATTTTGTCATGTATAGAAACATAAAACAGTTCATTTTTTCCCAAAATGCACCGATTTTGAGCTTGTTTTTACTTCTTTTACTAGTTCTTACTTGATCCAGTACCAGAATGTCCTACCATAGAGTAGGTTACCTGTTTAAAAATTATATACTCCAGAGCCAAAAGTTGGTAATTTGAAAATAGCCAATTAACACCTGTATAATGGATCCCGAAATATCGTGTAGCATACAAGACAAATTTAATAAAATCAAACAAGAGGAAAGAACAATTAAAATCAGAAAGGAGAAACAAAAATGGAAAAAACAAAAAAGAAAGAAATACAACAACTTATATTTGTTGTTAAACACCAAATAATCAATCAAATTACTTTGTAAATGTTCCATTTGTAACTTTATTTTTTTTTCATTACAGTGGGATGTACATTCCATGAAGAGGTCACTGAGTGTAATCAGGAAACACAGAAAGTACGAAAAACCTTCACGCTAGTCTCAGGAGACGTCAACACCTGTATAATGGATCCCTTTGAAATCTCATGTAGCATGCAGGACAAATTTAATAAAATCAAACAAAGGAAGGAACAATTAAAATCAGAAAGGAAAAACAAAAAGGGAAAAAACAAAAAAGACAGAAAAAGAAATCATAAAAGAGAAAGAAAACAAGGTTAGATGACAAAATGTATTTTTGGGGATTGTTGACAAAATTGTGAATTTTCTTAGCCAGAAAATGCTTTGTATATAGATTATTGGATGTTCTATTCCAATTTTCTTTCAAATTTAAAAACAAAATCAATTTGAATTTAATTTTCAATCATTGTAAGAAGTGACAACAAAAGGTAATTTAGAGCCATTAGAAGCACTCCCTAAAAAAATCAAATGAAAGCTTCTTTTATTGTAAGCAATGACAACAAAACTTAAATGTAGTTCCATTTTTTTACATTTCATATTTGTAGATTTTCCCAAGAAAATTCACAATTTTGTATGGTTGTAAATTGATATACTCACTTTTTCTGAAATACACTTAAAAAAAGTGAGAGTGTCAGTTTTGTTAGTTTGTTTTTAGTTGCATCATTTTTATTTTTAGTAGATGTTTTTCTATTATTGTTACATTGTACATAGAGTAGCAATTCTTAATTAACATCATAGAACGGTTTATCAGAAATATTACAATGTGCAAAATGGCAAACACACATACTTTTTTTTTAAAAACTGGCTTTTTTTTATATAGTTTTTGAACATTAGGATTATTTTTTGATTTGTACATTAATTTGATATGTACATCTGAAAATCCTTAGATAGAAGTACATTTGTATTCTTGTAAATGAAAATAAATTAAAAAACTTCTAAATTGACAGTTTGTTTTACACATGTGTTAATATAAAGTTTTTATGTACATTTATTTATACATTAATGTTATACCATCTATACACAATTTTTAAAATCTTTTTTATCAATTTTTTATGTATATTAAAAATCACAAAAATACTTAATCCACCGATTTTTCTTTGTATTCCTCTCTTTTGAGGCATTTCCATCAATTACCATAGACACATTCCTTATTCTTTTATGCATAAAATGTCATCAGATTTAAAAATGACCCCCTGAGAAATTTGATCATAAAAAAGGCTTCATAATTGTCTTACTGCCAACATCATTAATTTATACAGTATTAGGTTGTATGTCATCTAGTCAAAATTGCTCTGATGTGTCGGCCTGTTTTGAAAATTAGTAGGTCCCATCATGGTGCAGCAAATATATTCTTCTCCTACAGGGATTTTTAACGACATTTACCACCAATAAGGTCTTGCAGGGTTGGAGCAAATATATTAAAACTCCTTTATGAAGTTGAAAATGTGTTCCATTGAAATAAGGGTTGAAGTTATATGTTTTGAATAAAAGAAATTAATAATTAAAAATTTCATGGCAGTAGAAATTTGTATTAATTGATTGGCTTAACAATTGAATACCGTTGTATTATGCATGGCTATGGCTAATGCATGACGTAGTGGGAAACTAGATGAACAAATTAATAAAGATAATGTTTGAGCTTTAAACAAGTCCTGCTGTTTTTAAACATGCTTTATTTTGATTTTGAGGATTAATTTAGGTAGTTATTTTTAAGAAGAAATATGCACACTTTTCCTCCCAAGTGTGTTACAATAAATAAAATGTGTCAATTATCATCATTCAGATCTTCGTAAAGCTTATAGGAATACTACTTTTATTGAGCCTCAGTTACTTTATTGACTGGTTCCTTGTTCTAAATTCATTTTCTACCTTTTCATGTATTAAAAATAAAAAAAATACCAGTCAAATTTGAATGAGACATTATTTCAGTACAATGAAAAAGAACTGGAATGACAAAGTTAAGATTTTTTTATAAAAAACCCCAGCCTTGAGAAGGAACAGTTTTGCATGGAATATGTTAATGAGTCAATAAACCAGATAATCAACATTTAAAGGCATCTGAAGCATTGAAAAATCAAAACCTTAAAAACAATGTGAGATACAAGCTGGCTGCTTTATCTGGTAGACTTCAATGGGGTCTGTAATTTAAGCCTTTGTTTTATTATTAAACTTAAAACTCGAAACAATCATATAAATGTATAATTGCATCTTTTCATCAACATATATACATGCCAGTTTTTATAACTTGTATAATTGCTGTTGTTATATACTGTTATATTATATTTGTTACATGTAAAATTGTATGAATTGTTTATTAAATCAGTCAATAAAGTAACAATTTTTATTATTGTTTTGTTCTGCATCAGGCCATAAAAAGTATATTCCAAGTTTTCTTCCATTTCTGCCTGTCAATTTAATGTCTTTAGATGAACTTATTTCAATTTTTGCATTGCGTTCCTCAAATGTAAATCCAAAAAAAAGCACTTCGGACATACCAAATTTATAAAGTCTTATTTTCATCTGCAAAGTAAAATATAAGAAAATATTTTATAGGGAAAATTGTTTGGTTTTCATTCCAGAAATGTAAACAAAAATCGCCCTAAAGATCAAAATGAAAACCTAGGAACTATTTGTTATGGCTATTACTGTTAGAATAGAATAGACTAATTATGTTAACACTTACAGGTACACACAAGGTGATTCTGTTAAAAATAACCCTTGCTATAGTGTTGAGTGAATAATCACTATGAATCAGGGTGATTGAAAGTGAAAACAAAAAAAAATATTCGGAATATGGAATTTACAAAATGAAATCTGAATATCACCTACATTATTCTTTTACTACATGAAAAATCACCAGCAGGAGTGAATTTTAAGTGAAATACCCAGTGTGTTCTGTAAATACTTAGATAGGATACAGAAATCCAATGTGTTCACTATCGCTGTAAGGATAAAGATTCTGTTCTGTTACTGATCCTGATACACACCAATCTTGATCATTAGCATTGTGACCTAAAAGAAATTTACGGGAAAGTGCACAAATTAGAAAGTCGTATATTAGAGGGGCTAATATAGGCAACAGTAGTTTTATGATAAACAAATCTCATATAAAATCTATTCAGAAGAAAAATCAAGACAAAAAAAATAACCTGAGGTGATAGATAGATTGGCATGAGATCCAAAAGGACCGTGAAATGTGTGTCAACAGTGTAAGTGTCCTCTGGTATGCATCAGCTACCATGCAAATCCACACTCAGTCAAAAAGGATTTAACAAGGTTTTTACGGAACTCCAAGGTCATTTCAAAAAGGGGGAAGTACATAAAACTTGACAAAAATCAAACATTCGACATTATCAACCAACGGAATGAATGGAAACCAACTGTCATATTCCTGACTTGGTACAATCTGGAATAGGATACAATTGGTTAAATTACAGATTAGTTGACTACTCTCGTATCTTTAAGGTCAAAGATTGCAAAAGCATGTCTTTAAAAACTTATTGTAGCCAGACTCATTTCAACTTTTCTGATGCCAAATTGTTGTTATTCTAAGAGTAAGTTTGGTAAGGGTCATATTTGGCCATGAATACTCCTTTCTTGGATTGAAATCTTACAGAAGGGCATTGTGAAAATGACAGGCTGTTTCAATCAAAAACTTGAAAAAAAACCAAAAAAAAAACATTTTAATTTCTAAAGAAAAACATATTTTCTTGATGTATGTTATTAAAACAAATAGTTCTTGATTAAAGTTGAAAACATTTTTTTTTCCAAGAAAAAAATATATAATCATGAGATATGTTTTCTGTAGATTTTACATGCATTCTATACAAATGCTTACCTTTTTTAAGGATTTCCATTTAATGATATTTTAAAAAGTATAACAGTTATAGGAATTATTTGCTTTGATTTTCAGTTAAAAATCAACATCTTCAAGTTGACTATGCCAAATTTTAACAAAATCCTAAAACAGCCAATTTTGAGCTTGAATGATAATGTCGCAGCACAAATAATTTTGTTTGATTTAAAGAAATTTGACGAAAAAAATCATAACCATGGTGATAGAGTATTGAACCTCTGGTAATGTTACTGTATCCTAAGTATAGAAACTACATGTTTGAAATAGATAACTTCTTTAAATTCAGAAATTTATGCAAGGTTTTTATTAAATAAGAAAATTTGTTTGTATGCAGCATTTTTGAAATCCCAATAATTAATCTATGATTTTTCCCTTATTTACCAATCTTACATAATAAATGCAAACAAAAATTTCTGAATTTCTAGTAATCATTTTTTTACTAGATATCTAAAAAAGAAGAAAAAAAGTAATTAGTTGTCCCCGAGTCATGGAGTTATTCCGAAGTATGTAACTTATTGGGTGTCATTTATTGCTCATTTAGTACACATGCAAAATCTGCAATAGTGTCAGTGCAATAAGTGCAGTATTTGATCCTAATTTATAAGTGCAAATTATAAGGTTACCATGTATGAGCTTTAATTTGTTCTACTTTACACTAGACTGTTTGTACCTGTTAATTTAATCACTAGGTGACTGTTACATCTTTCCTAATTCTAATTTTAAAATTCGGTTTTATGTGATAAACATGTAAGAGGGCAAATAAAAGGTGTACGTATCATACACATGTATTTATAATTACATGTGAGATTTTTTATTACAACATAAATATGCAAGGCCTTTTCTAAGGAGAGTTCAAAAAAGAGGGACGAAAGATACCAGAGGGACAGTCAAACTCATAGATCGAAAACAAACTGACAACGCCATGGCCAAAAATAAAAAGACAAACAGACAAATGATAATAGAGGGGCCTGATGGGGGGGTCTCATCACGATTCACAAGTTGATTTTTTTGTCAATCACGATTCACAGAAAATAAATTTAGATGATCACGGATCACGAAATTATAAAAAAAAAAAATCTGTAGAAAAAATGATCACGATAGCAAAAATGCGCCGATCACGAAGAACGAAAATAACCCATCAGGCCCCTCATAGTACAGATGACACAACATAGAAAACTAAACTTCAACTTAGTCCACATTGATCATTCGCCTGTCAGCATTAAGGTTGTGAGTAAGAACCAAACTAGTGGCGTGATTTGTTAGGTACTCAGGTCTTAACTGTTTCACCTATTGCAATTTTCCTTGCAAACGTTCAGGGTTCTCTCTGGATACTCGTTACTTCGGCCCAAACTTTAAGTACTGAGTCATGACCACAAGGTGGTGGTCTAAATTGTGGTTGT